TGCATTGTTATGTCTAAATATGGAGATAATGAAATATGAATGAAATATTGTGTTGAGATTCATTATGTAGGTGATGGTCATCAGGCCTCTAGATTGCAATCATTTTGGTCGCCATGGTGACAAAATTTGTGCAACTGTGATTAATGAAAATATCTAGGTTGCCAACTTATAGGTGACCATAAAATCTAATTGGCGACAATTCTCTGTGACATAAAACAGATGAGAGATTAGACAGCTTGTTAACTGCTACTCATGTTTTGCGCTATGCATTCAATTATCTGCTATATTTAATTGTTACAAATTGACATGCAACATTGGACATTGTTCAGTAAGTTAATTAATAGAGGTGTTCCATTGTTTATTGTGCGTTTTCTAATGGTTTGGTATAGCAGCCAGCTTTTCTTTGTACGGTGGGCTATGGTGGTTACAAGTAGCTTTAATGTGATTAAGGGTGTCCGCCAGGGAAGTATTCTGTCACCAAAATTGTTTGCGTTGTATGTAGACGAGCTCAGTGATAAGCTTTGTTTGGCAAAAGTGGGATGCCATTTAGCAGGTGTGCCTATAAATCATTTACTTTACGCCGATGACTTGATGTTAATGTCTCCGTCGGTGAAGGCACTTCGTAAATTGGTTGAAATATGTGAGAAGTATGGTACACGCTATGATATTATATTTCATCCAATAAAAACAAAATGTATGGCTTTTTTCCCAAAATATTGGAAACAAGCCAGAGTTCCTAACCTAAACCTAACTGGGTTTAGACCGTCGTGAGACAGGTTAGTTTTACCCTACTGATGATTTGTTAGTTCCCGTTCGGACAGTAGTCCGAAACGGGAAGTAGTGTTTTTGGTTATGTGCGTGCGTGTATTTCAGACACACTTTGATGGATTCCATTCAAATTTGGTACACATACATGTCATGAAGGTATACATATGCACGTGAAGTTGTTTTGAGATTAGATCAAATTTGAGCGTTTGGCAGCTATTTTAAACCCGAAAATGTGCAGATTCTGATTAAGATGAACTATAAATTACATGCATCTAATACAAAGTTGTTTTTATGTTGTTAAATTAATGTCAATAAAGTAGTAGTATTATGTTGGTTTGTCAGAATGTTACCTTTATTCGTTATTTGTTTGATATCCTGATTTGATTATGATTGCAATAAAGATATCAAAGTATTTTTACCACGTACCTCGATCATGCTAAACGGGGCATGATCTTCGGGTTCAAGCAATGTGTTCTACTGTTGCATCATGGGAGCGAATTCGCTTCAATCAGGTAAATGGTAAAAAAACCTCGTGTAGGATAATTTTTTTATGGATGCTCTCTGTGACTTCGCGCTGATACTGAATAGTTTGAAGATCAATAAATTATTTGGTAAGTACATGATATATTTGTAAGTACTATGATATATGAATGTTTGGGACTTGTATCTTTGCCGATCTATAGAGGTAAATTGTTCAGATTTTGACGATGTCCGTGATCACTGCACTGCGATGGCCGTCATTTGTGTCAACGATCGAAATTACTGGTATTCCGGTATCTATCTTTTAACAAGTTAATTATTTTCAAAAATAATAAGTTTTCTGTGATCGATTTTTTTGTCTGATGGGCGCATTTTTTTTATTTTGAGTGGAATGTATGTGAGAATATTTTGTCAACATTCTCATTTTAACGATGTCTCGCCATGTCACAGTCTATGTTCTGGATGTTAGTCGGCAACGGTCTACAAGGTGATTTTAGGGATGTGCAAAGCAGGCAGATTTGTAGAAATTGACATCGGCAAATGCTGTATTTGAAAAAAAATCACTGTGATGGAACAATGAAATTTCGTAGCAAGTTGGAAAGATCTTGGAGGTTTGTATCGTCACGTCATCGCGTCCCGAAGACTGGCTACACTATTCAATATGCACTGTCAATATATATGACACCGTCAGAACAACTGAATGGTTTAAAATTTTATTATTTTGACGATGTAACTGGGTGTTTATCTAACTGCAATTTTTAAATGACCTGAATTAGTGTACGTTAATATCGTGACGACCTTCAGGGCTCATACCACTAATTGAATTTCCATAGACGACAATGTTAACATATGACGAGATTGCTATATGAAAATGACGAAGAAAGTTGAAAATATGGCTCAAAAATGGGAAATCAACATGCCAGTAATCAACCATATGAAAAAAACTAACATGTTGGCCAGCTCAAACTCTTGCAAATCTCAGGTAAACAAGACACACCTACTGTATTTGG